TCGTTTCTCTCTACATTTTTGTGTGGAGTTCTATTTAATGCATGGCATGCTACAGTCCCTACTCCAAGTACAATAAGCTGCCATTCTCCAATTATCATGGACCATGGATATACACAATAAGATAGAGAACAGGACAGACAGTAAGGGAATAAAATGGAGCATGACTATTATTCAGGTAAGGATTATGCACACCTCCAAAAATGTATCTCTAGCTGAACTCCAAAAGCTGGCATTATCACTACTGATTTTGCACACAAACAAACAGGGAAAGGCAACACGAAATACAATCTCAATTTCATGCACAAATAACGGAGGCAATGGAACTTTAAATTTTGAAGTATGCGGCATCTGACAGTCAAACTAACTATGACCTATTACTATCAATATGTAGAAAGGTTAAACAAACACATCTAAGATGAAGGATTCACCTCTCTTCACAGGTTTGTATTGCAAACATTAGGCGACAAGAACAGCAAAGGTAATATTCCAAAGTGATCCAAGAGACAGGCTCTCCTGCGATGTTGAAGCAGGTCAATTTCCACTATGTATACCAGTCATGAAAATACAAAGTTAAACAAAACTATGATGCATGGAAAAAGAAAAGCATGGCTCGATATATTTTTTCGAGAATAGCCAGTGTGCAGTAAATCCATATGATACATGATCTCAGTCATAAGCATGGAAATAGAAAAGCATGGCTCGATATATTTTTTGAGAATATACTCAACACAGGCTGGGGCAGTGGGCATATACAAATATGCAGCTGGTCAAAAATTAAGGCAAACTAGTAAGCTAGAAAGCTCCCAGGGCAGGGCAGACCCAGTGCCGGAGGCTGCCACATGAGTGGGGTCTGGGGAAGGGAAAAACCAAGGCAAGCCTTCCCCCCGCAAAATCTGCGGAGAGGCTGCTTCGAACCCATGACCTGGAGACTCAGTGAGACAGCTCTCACCACTGCACCACGCCTGCCCTTCCAAGTAACATCTCATAGCAAATTTGAATTTACCAAAATCACAAGCTATCAGTAGTACACATGCTGGTCAAATTTGTTCCATTATTAACATATTCACAAATCACAACAGTAGTATACATGCTCATTTACACTACAAAATCGCAAGAATCTGCTCATTTACAATATGATGAAGCTATGTCAGATTCTTCACATCTGAGTCGACGGGTAAGGAAGCTAGTCGAACCAACTAGGATCCGTTTAGGTAGTTGGAATGTAGGGTTGCTTATAGGTAAGTTAAGAGAATTAGTTGATACCGCGACTAGGAGGCATGTAAATATATTATACGTTCAAGAGACTAAATGGAAGGGTCAGAAGGCGAAGGAGGTGGACAATACAGGTTTCAAGCTTTGGTACACAGGGACAGTCGCGAATAGAAATGGAGTAGGAGTTTTGATTGATAAGAGACTCAAGAATGGTGTGGTGGGAGTAAGAAGGCAAGGAGATAGGATTATCTTAGTCAAGCTTGTCGTTGGTGATATGGTCTTGAACGTAATTAGTACGTATGCCCCCCAAGTAGGCCTCGACAAGAGTGCTAAGAGACAATTCTAGGAAGACTTAGATGGCCTAATTAGAGCTGTACCTAGTATGAGAAGCTTTTTATAGGAGATCTTAATGGGCATGTAGGTACTACAAGTGCATGTTTCGAGGCAGTTCATGGAGGTTTTGGGTATGGTAGTAGGAATCGAGGGAGGAAGTTCTGGACTTCGCGGTAGCTTTTGACCTGATGATAGCCAACACTTTCTTTCGAAAGAGACAATCTCATCTAGTGACCTTCAGTAGCGGACAACACTTTAGCCAGATTGACTTTGTCCTCGCAAGAAGAAAGGACAAACGAGCATGCTTGGGTTGCAAGGTGATACCAGGGGAGTGTGTTGTTTCCCAACATAAGCTTTTGGTGGCAGACTTTCGTTTTCAGGTGCGTGCACGTAGGGATAAACAAGCTAAGATTGGAAAAACGTGGTGGAAACTGAAAGGGGAGACGTTAGAGGTATTCAGGGAAAGGGTTATCAAAGAGAGCTCTTGGAAGGAAGAAGAGGACATAAACAACATGTGGGAGAAGATGGCAACCAACATTCGGAAGGTGGCCTCAGAGGTGTGGAGTAACTAAAGGAAGTGTAGGCGAGGCTAAAGATACTTGGTGGTGGAACGAGGAAGTCCAAAAGGCTATTAAGGAGAAGAAAGAATGCTATAGACGCTTGTACCATGACAGGAGTGGACAACTTAGAGAAGTACAAGGTGGCAAAGAAGACTGCAAAGCGAGCTGTAAGTGCGGCAAAGGGTAGAGCGTACGAGGATCTTTACCAATATTTGAGTACGAAGGAAGGAGAGAAGGACATTTATAGGATGGCTAGGGTTCGTGAGAAAAAGACAAGGGACTTCAACCAAGTTAAGTGCATTAAGGATGAAAGGGGGCATCTCTTGGTGAAGGAGGATGAGATCCGACATCGATGGCAAGAGTATTTTGACAAATTATTCAATGGTGAGAATATGGACACAACCTTTTACTTGGATGACTCTTTTGATGACACCAATAGGCGCTTTGTGCGGAGAATCCAAGAATCTAAGGTCAGAGAGACGTTGAAAAGGATGAAAGGAGGTAAGGCGATGGGACCGGATGATATCCCAATCGAGGTGTGGAGATGCCTCGGAGACATAGCTATAGTATGGCCAACCAAGCTGTTCAACCATATTTTTCAATCGAACAAGATGCCTGATGAGTGAAGGAGAAGTATATTGGTACCGATCTACAAGAATAAAGGGGATATTCAAAGTTGTACTAATTACCGGGGAATTAAGTTGATGAGCCATACTATGAAGCTATGGGAGAGAGTTATCGAGCATCGTTTGAGAGCAATAACGCGGATCTCTATGAACCAATTTGGTTTCATGCCCGGAAGGTCAACCATGGAAGCCATTTTCTTAATAAGACAAGTTATGGAGCGGTATAGGGAGAAGGACCTACACATGGTTTTTATTGACTTGGAGAAGGCTTATGATAAAATACCAAGGAATGTTATGTGGTGGGCTTTGGACAAACATAAAGTCCCAACGAAGTACGTCGGGCTCATTAAGGACATGTACAACAATGTTGTGACTAGAGTTCAAACAAGTGATAGAGACAGGAATGACTTCCCGATTAGGATAGGACTACATCAAGGGTCAGCTTTAAGCCCTTATTTGTTTGCCTTAGTGATGGATGAGGTCACAAGGGACATACAATGGGAGATCCCTTGGTGTATGCTTTTCGCGGACGATGTAGTGCTAGTTGATGAAAGCCAGACAAGAGTGAATCAGAAACCGAAATTATGGCGGGATACTTTGGAGTCCAAAGGTTTTAGACTCAGTAGAACTAAAACTGAGTATATGAGATGTGACTTCGGCACTACTACTCGGGAGGAGGAAAAGCTTGTACGGTGTAGAATGTTGGCCTACGAAAAGACGACATGTTCAACAGATAAGTGTCGCGGAAATGCGTATGTTGCGTTGGATTTGCGGTCATACAAGAATGGATCGAGTTTAGAACGATGATATACGTGATAGATTAGGGATAGCACCAATTGAAGAAAAGCTTGTCCAACACTGGTTGAGATGGCTTGGACATGTCCAACGAAGACCTCCAAAGGCACCGGTGCGTAGTGGAATCCTAAGCCAGAATAGTAACGTGAAAAAAAGCAGATGAAGACCGAAGTTGACTTGGGTAGAGGCAATAAAAGGAGACTTGAAAGGATGGAATATACCTAAAGACTTAGCCTTAGATAGGAGTGCTTGGAAGACAGCTATTCACGTGCCTGAACCTTGATTGCTTCTGCTGGGTTTCAACTCTAGCCTACCCCAACTTGTTTGGGACTTAAAGGCTTTGTTGTTGTTGTTGTTGTTGTTGTATGTCAGATTATATTTGTTCACACTACAAAATTTCATAACAGAGAGCAATTATAAAGGAGATCAACAATTAACAACTATCATTTGTATTGTCACTTGTCGACAACACCTGTACATTTTTTTATAAAGACAAATGGTATGTCTTTGAGTATGTGACCATATCACAAAAAAGAATCATGCTACAGTGTGCAAAGGAGGCAAGCTTAAGATATTATTATGCTAGAAATTCTGCCATTATTCTGAGTTTGAGGCCGAGCAAGCAACACAAGTAAACACAGCACCTATATGTAGAGCAAAACCAATGCTAAAACATAACGAAATCGTACCACAATCACAGACGACACCCAAAAGGCAACAATCATCAAAACTAGTGCTGTTTCTGTACCTGAAATACTTGAATCTGTTGGCTGCAAGCAATGAGGAGAGGACGACGTCAATGCAACAGGCTTGCAACACGTTGGGGTTAAATCAATTGCTACTGCTTGTAATGTAACAATAGAAATTAATCTACTAAATGGATGACCCTAGTTTTAACATGTCAAGATGCATCAAAATATTTAACATATGTAAGACCAAAAATAATATATTTAGCATTTCATATGCAGACCAAAAGGCACTTAATGCTCAGTACAGATCCATTGTTCAACACACTGAAACATGATACCACCTATTCTGAGTAAAGAATACACGTTCACTACACTGCAAGTCTAATTCCTAGTGACAGCTTCCCAAAATGAGGATTTTCACTAGCTACAGCATACTAACAGAAATGAAGCAGGAATGACGTTTCCAGCATGGGATGACCAAGTTACCTACAAGGAGTAGAGTTGGTATATTCAACTTGAGTTGACTCGATTATCATGGGATACAATATACAAATGCATGTTGCAAGGATACAATTTACAAGAACTATATGGCAGTTCAAATGTCTCTTGTCTCTACTTAGTGTATTTGAAGGAGTTCTGTACAACGATCCATAGGTGATGAAGCTATTTGCAAGCAAAAAATTGAATATTCCATTGTTAAATGCATAAATAATTTTCTGTGGCGCAGTGAAGAGTAGAAAGTTTTTAAGTAACTGTGAACTGCTCAAAAGGATTATGTACACTTACTAGTTTGGAAATGCATCTACTATTCTTGATGCTGCATCAACAGATAATCCATCCTTTGTATCCATGCCATGAATAACACTAATTATATCTTCACGGATGGGCTGCCTGTTAAAAACAGAATGGCTGTAACTAGCTGTAGCAAGCAAGAAAAACAAAACTGTAGAGATTGATTCAAGAATAGAACAAAAAAATGGCTCGCATAATCAGGCATCTTTCTTCAGACTATCATATTTTGTACTGTTTAAAATGCCAATGCCAAGAAGACAAGCAAACACCTAATTATACACATAGGGCTAAATGGAAATTAAGTCCCTGAATATTGAAGACTAAATTAACACCAACGTTTGTAATTCAGGAACACTTTTAGCATGTCAAAATTTAGCAATCACCAGAGAGAATATTTAAGCTATTTGCAATTTGTATTGCACAAATAATGCTCAAATTGAGCCTTGAAAGCCTTGATGAATTGATCTGACAAACTGGCGAATTAAACTTAAAAGCTAATGAGCCCCATCTATTCTCTCATCAAATTGGTTCTGTTTTTCAAGTGAACGACAAGCTGCATGGACATACTCATGCAAATACTAAAAAGCTAAACTAGTTTGGTATGATAAGCTACTAAACTACAAGGACATATTGTATCAGTAATTCCATTACTTCTTTACTGACCTGTCTAGATAGAACAGGAACTATATGGAATATAAAATCGATAACAATAAAATGCTACATGGGGGAAATATTAGGAATCTTCTCACCACTCCACTATGCCCATCACGCTGCTCCTCCTAGAGCTCCTCCATCACGACACAAATCAGTAAAGCAGCTGCCCACCACACGCACAGATCTAGAAGAGGGGTGAGGGTCCTGGCGCAAGAACTGACCTGGGCGTATTCTTCCGCATCCGTGGCTAGATCCACCGGTGTCATGGCCGGGTCCGGCACCTCCTCGCCGGTGAGGGCCAGATCTGTGGAGGGGTGACATTCAAGCACCGGTGCCTGCTCTTCCTTGATGTGGTGGCGGTGTCTTCCTCGGCTTGCCATGGTCTTCGCGGGTGTTGGAGGTGCCCGTAGGGCTGGTGACTGCGGCAGCTCGGCGGTGCGTGGAGGCCCTGGGGCGGCGGTTGCGGCCTGCGGGGATGGGAGGAGTCATTGGGGGCGGAGGCGTGGGGTGAGTCCGTGAGTGGAGGCCGCGAGATGGCGACATAGGGCGGGTGGAGGTCGTCGGGCGACGAGTTGCAAGGGTGGGGCGCGCGGTCCTACCGGTGGCGGCGCTGTCCGTGTTGCAGGGGCGGGCGGCGCACTGGCGGCGGCGGCTCGAAGGGGTGTGGGTGGGGAGCGGATAGGAGTGGATTAGGGGTTTTTTTTTTTCCGGAGCCGCTTCTTTTTGTTTCCGAGTTCCGACTTCGGAGCGAGCTGGATAGGGGTGGGCACGCGAGGTCAGCGTGGGTCCCATTTTCTTTCTCGATGACGGTATATTTGTCTGTAGCGACAGTCTATAGCAACAGATAATAAATTGCTAAATAAGGAATTAGCGACAGATAGTCTGTGAATTATCTTTAGCGACAGATTATTCATCGACAAATATAATTTTTGGCGTTAGATGTCTGACGGTGGCCTAGAGTGTTTCCTTGGAGGTTGCTGACTATCGAGAAAACTAATTTACTTGGCGGTCGTAACATTTTCTTGTCCCTTCGTTGAATTAAGTATGGTCTTAGTTCTCTTGGTGGCCAGCCTCAAAAAAAAATATCTTTGAGTGTCAAAACCGTCAAGTAAATTAATTTCTTTTATCTTCTATCCTAGTGAATTTGCTTGACAGTTCGTGGCCCAAGTATCATCTCCTTGCGGTTTAAGCCCTTGGCTGTTTTGGGCACTCAAAGACAATTCAGGATTGTGGTAGTGTGATGTAGTAGCTAATACGATATTGGTTCAGCTTCGAGCATTGTGCAAACCTATATAAAAGACATTTATAGGGAATAAAAAATGAATAAACTGCACTGCACAATCTAAATATAAGCTAATGCAGACAACTAAACACATCCAGATTGTTGTTCTAGGTCCCTGCCTTCGAACACTGGGTTGTCACACGAACGAATCAGCAAAATGAATAGTGGAGCGAAACCAAGATGAATAAAACGCAATTGGTGTATTCACTACGAAGTATTGTCTCCTCCCTTACAATCCTCGTCTTGGGGGCTATTTATACACGCCTGTAAGCTTTCTATAGACAACAATACACCTACAACTACAACATATTCGGGGCATATTTTCGTCCGCCTTGGGCTTGCTCGCCTTTTTGGAAATGTCGCCCGCCCTGGATGGCGTCGGCCCTCAGGTCGCCGCATGGTCCTGCACCGTGTCGTAATTTTGCCGACCGAGCAGGCCCTGGCGGACTGGCGCTGCAGACGTGAAAGGTCCTAATATGGCTTGACGGGGGTGAATAGCCTATTAAAAATTCTACAAGATCACTAGAGCAATTTGTTAGTACGCTAAATAGCGAAATGCAATTTTTCTCTAGCTCTACAAGGGTTGCAAGCCACCTATCCTAACAATTCTAGTTGCTACGATCTCTAGACACACAAGAAGCTAAGTCACTAATCACTAAGAGCTCTCAACAAGGCTATACTAAAGAGCTCTACTAGGAGAAACTAAACTAGCAAGCAAGCTCTCAAAACTAACTACACTAAAGAGCTTGCTATACAACTAGTTTGCAAGAATATAAGGGAGTGAGTAGGGTGATTATATCGCCGTGTAGAGAAATGAACCAATCACAAGATGAATACCAATTCAATGACCGGGAGAAAGCCAATCACAAGATGACACACGATTTTTCTCCTGAGGTTCACGTGCTTGTCGGCACGCTAGTTGACCAACACTTGGTGATTCGGTGGCTAATAGGTATCACACACCTACCCAACAAATGGCGCTGCAAGAACCTACCCACAAGTGAGGTAACTCAATGACACGAGCAATTTACTAGAGTTGCCTTTCGACGCTCCATCAGGGAAGGTATAAGACCCCTCACAATCAACGGGAGATGATCACGAACAATCACCAGCTCATGCCGATGCTCCTCTGCTGCTCCAAGCCGTCTACATGGCGACAACCACCAAGAGCAACGAGAAATCCGCAGCCACAACGATTTCCAAGTGCCACTAGATGCAATCACTCAAGTAAAAGCACTTGAATTCACTCCCAATGTCACTATGATGATAAAACAATGATGGAGATGAGTGGAAGGTGTTTGTTTAGGCTCACAAGGATGTATCACTGATGAAAATGTCTAAGGGAGTGAGCCCAAGGTGCCCCAAGTCTATTTACAGAGGTTCACGACCTCCACTAGCTGTTATGCTCTCGAGGCAACCGGACCTAGAGACCGGACCGTCTACAGTGCAGGTCCGGTTCACAGGATCGCGCCACGCGTCTGTCCTTTGAATCTCATGTGTCGAGTCTCAACGGTCTAAACTATGCACGCAAAGAACCTCCGGACCGGACCCACTATAGCACATCTGGACCCTATGTTCCCTAGGTCTGGAAGGATCCAGTAAGCATCCAGAGAACCAAAATGGCTCCGAACCCGGTCCGCTCCAGGCTTCCACACCACGCACAGTGCGGGTCCGAAAGTCCTCCATGTGCCACATCACTCTTCGCGCCAATCGCCGCCCATCCGGACCCGCGCGAGCCTGAGTCTAGACTCACTGTGCCCCTAGGTCCGGAACACATGTCGCGCGCTGCTGCTCTCGGCCTCGTCTGCATGAGACAATCGGACCCGGTCGAGATGGTCCAAACCCCTGCCAGGCAGGGTCCGGAATAGCTGCCAGTCCCCCGTGAACCTAGGGTTAGGTTCCGGACCCATATAGAGATGGTCCGGACCCCCTAAACCCCAGGGTCCGGTTGTCACCTCCTTCTCCTTTTCTTTTTCCAACACTTCAACCACTTCACCCTTGCTTCTAAGTTGCTAACCACAAAGTGTGTAACTTGTGTACACGTGTGTTAGCATTTTACAAGGGTTAATTGTTAGCACACTAGGTCCCTAATGCATATGCAAAAATCATGTCACCTAGTGGCACTCGATAAACTGCTTAGTCAAAGATTTTCCCTCTCTATAGTATGGCTATTGATCCTAAACACACTCACAGCCTCTATAGTGTCTTCAGTGCCAAAACAAAACCCTATTTGATACCTTTGCCTTGATCTCCTTGGTTTTTGTTTTTCTCTTTCTTCTTTTTCCAAATGTGAAGCACTTGATCATCTCTTTTGTGGCCATCACCTTCACCATGACCATCATCTAGCTCCACCACTTGGATTGGACTACCTTATCTAATTCACGCTCTTAGATCAAAGGTTAGTCATAGGTTTCATCAATTATCCAAAACCAAACTAGGGCTTTCAATCTCCCCCTTTTTGGTAATTGATGACAACCTTTTTACAAGGATATTCAATGAGATCTTTTAGGATTCATATTGCTTGCCCAAGCATTTTACCGTGTGTAAAGGATATGGGCAAGTTTCATAAACCCGAATTGGTAGGATTAGCTCCCCCTACATATGTGCTAAGAGTTTGGATTTGAAAGCTTGCACATATGCATGGATAGGAAAGAGTGGGAGAGTAATGGCTACCAAATGATGCTAAGGTGTAAAGAATGGACCTTTGGAGCGTGATACCAATCAGAGTTGCCATTTGAACACCATCCTTATCACCATGGTTTGCTAGATACCACTTGAAAACTACAACCACTAGATACCTCGTGAGATCAACATTATAAGCAAGGCTCTAGTACCACTTGTAAAAATTCAAGATATATCTAGCTATCCTATGCATGTTAGTTTTCATTGCATCAATCATTTTCTACAATCTAGCATACACCACACAAGCATGGATATGGAATTTAAAAACATGTGCCATGCAAGCAAAAATATATAATGCACATACAAATGCAACATACAAGTTTATGAGCTTGCTACCCCTACTTGTGTGCTTCAAATTTTAATTAATCCCCTTATAATGCCATTTCAATTATTTGCTCCCCATGTCTTACTATCTTTGTGAATTTCTCTCCCCCTTTGGCATCAAATACCACAAAAGGTAAGCTCAAAATTTTAGATAGGTTGAGGTGAAACCATGTTATGTGAGGATCATTTTCTCATATTTGGTTCAATCTAGAGCACTTGCACAAGATATTTAACTCGGTTTGATCCAAGGGTAAGCTTCTTCACACCTCATTGTAAGGGTTATCTTGATCATGTTGAGTTAAACACTTAAAGCTCATTTTCTAGATTAAACACTAGGTTCACAAGTCCACAAACATGTTATATGCTACCACTAGATCATATCAAGCATAGAAGCAATAGTGGTACCATACAAGCATCAAATTTATTTAATTTTCATGAATGAGCCTAAGACATGATAGGAATGACTAGATGCACTAATAAACAAGTCCTTAGCAAAGGATGAATGACATGTTAATCAATTTTACCTTGCTTTTGCTCGAAGAAGAGGTATGTCATATAATGGGGGTGCATCAACACATATTTGAGAAGTCAAGTATGTTCAATTCATTCCATAGCTTGCAAAACCTCTTCTCATCAAGTGGCTTGGTGAATATATCGGCAAGTTAATTATCGACGCCCACACTCTCAATGCAAATGTCCCTTTTTTGTTGATGATCTCTTATGAAGTGATGGCGAACATCTATGTGATTTGTTCTTGAATGTTGAACCGGGTTGTTGGTGCGCTTCATGGTACTCTCATGGTCACAATGCAATGGCACTTGTTTGAACTTGATTCCAATGTCATTCAAAGTAGCCTTTATCCAAAGTAATTGAGCACAACAACTACTGGCCAAAATGTACTCCGCTTTGGTGGTTGAAAGTGTTACACTATTTTGCTTCTTTGATGACCAAGACACAAGTGATCTTCTCAATAGTTGACATGTGCCCGATGTGCTTTTTCTCTCAAGTTTGCATCCTGGATAATTGGAGTCCGAATATCCAATCAACTCAAATCTTGCTCCTTTGGAATACCATAATCCAACATTTTATGTA